CTTCCTCGATCTCGATATCCTCAACATCTACTCCATTGGAACGCGATATTAAACATAGCAATAAAACAAAATAAATGGACATTTTTTTATGGTAATCCAACATTTTGATAGGTACAACTAGTAAGACTTGTGCTGGGTATTAACTAATAATAACCAAGTACGACCCACTAGTTAAAAAGTACTATGTTTATTTAATATTATTAACTCGCTTTTATACTGATTCATACCTGAATAACATTAGCAACAAAAAATGTATATTGTATTTTTTTTTTTTGACCGTTCAACTTTTGGATAGTTATAAAAGGTCAAAACGGTTACCCAGTAAGCACATAAATTGTAGCATTGATTACAGAACCAATTAAGGAGGATTTGCACGTGAGAATTGGTCACGCCAGTAATACTTGTTAACTTCGATTATACAAATTTATTAATCAAATATAATCATTGATAGGTTTTTTCATTAAAGGAGGACTTTGAAAACGAAACAAGGTCATGCGTTATAAAATTATACAAAATAGCAGTTTAATGTTCTCACATTGCATTCATGTACAGCTGTAATAAATGCATTTTTTACACTTTCAAGCAAGGATCGAATGAAACAGTTATTAAGAAAAGTAAAAATTGATCTTATAAGTATACAGGGTTGTTCTTCTAACGCCCTACACTTTTTCTCATAAGCTACTTAGATTTTTACAAAAAAAAATGTATATTTAATTGTTTGTGTATAAAATACTAACTTATGATATACACAATTTTTTTTGTATCTCCCCGCATTCCTCAAAAACTTGACATCAACTTTTGATTTAAACTAACACATATCATTTTACGTTAATTTTAAACAATGTATTTGCGTTTAATTCCATTGGAAATTGGTATTCTAAAACTAAACAATGCTTATCTTTAAAGTTGTTTTGAAAAACATATTATTTATAAGAAATTTTCGGCATACGTCTTGTTTATGGTGAATCACATTTAAACTTTTCGGAATAAAGAAGTTTGATTTGTTTACTCAAAAATGATAAAATGCTTAATGGTAAGTTACATATTAAAATTGTTTTAAACTATTATAATTATAACAATATATTGTTTCTGTGTATTAGGTGAAAGCACCGATAATTAATCTTTTTCATACTCTTACCAATACATAAATAAAGTTAGCTTGCAACATGTTATAATTGGCGACAAGTTATTTTGAAAGCGTTTATTTGATGTATGGTGTAGAATTATATGAAGTTCTACATAAAACCAACATCGTTATGAAAACTGAGAAAATAATGGATAAAATAAAATAATGTATTTAACTACTTAAATTATAATGTTATAACCTTAACTTAAATAAATATTTTGTTTTTTGAAGTGTCAGATGCACCCTAGTTAGTGTTATTCGAAAAAAGTTGGAACGCAATCCTTTGTACTATTACCAGAACGCTGAACAGACAACTCCAAATAATATTATTTTTAATTTTTTCCTTTTGAATGGTAATTTTAGAATTAGTAGACATACTTAAAATCAACGGTGTTAATTATTAGGTATACTTAAGTATAGTTACTATTAAATAAAACTTATAGTATAATTTTTTTTAGTAGGTACATAAATAAATACAAAACGCTAGTTTAACACCTGTTACAAATTATAAGAAAGAATAGGACTCGGATAGCTCTACATTACTACATAAATGTTACAAAAAAAATGTAATTTAGTAGAACGTTTCAAAGTCTCATAATTTTATGACTATAAACATTGTTATTACATATATGCAGTACCTACTCATTTACTTATTATTTCATATTTTAATATTTTTAATTTAGTGTGTTTTACTAAGTTTAGGATTATAGGGAGGTAGGTTTTTGTTTTTTTAACATGCTTTAGTCTTAACCCATATAATGCATTTATCCACTACGGATATTTCGGTTAAACGGTGTTAAACTATTAAGGACTATATTTCTTTTATAATTCTAGATAACACTAATGGCACATCTCTTAATTCAATATTTAACGGGTAGAAAATTAATGTTTTATTTTGAAATTGCTTAAAGAAAATTGTGTGTACAAGTTTAACTTGTATTTTCAAAATTATATTAGAAACAAACAAATTGTTAAAAACTACGATTTCATTAATGTAGAATCTGATTTTTTTTATATACATTTAGACTTAAGTAATAGTATTTTCTATGTTTAATATTTTTTTAATGAAAATGAAGTATGTAAAATTTAATGTCAACAACATCATATTTTAAAACGTACCTAATGCATTTGTAATATTTTTAACCATATGTAATAATCATTAATTAATAAAAAAGTGCTTATTTATTACAATAAAGAAATCAAGAAACTAATGCAAAATAGTTAACATGTACTATTATAGTAATAATTATTATTATTTTAAAGACTAATATTATACTTCTTTAAAATTTAAAACCTACGTAATATTCAAATTGAACAACAGAATTATTACACTCATTAAGTAAAATTAATTCTTAGTAGTTTGTTGATAAATTTACAATTATTATTGTTTTATATTATAAAGTTTTAAAAAACAACTTTTACAGTCGGTTGGGTAAAATGATGTAAAAAAAATATTTTTACTTTTAATTACCTAGGAAATAGGAATAATAGGTTATTTTTGTTATCCTAATAAATAGTACCCTAAATTTCTCGTTTTAATTTCTTATATATTTATTTAATAAACAACAATTAACTTATTTACTTTAACCACTTTATTGAACCAAATAATATATTGTTTACTTAGGTATATTTAATAAAAACTATTAAATATTAAATTTAAATATTATGCTTGAATAATTTGTTTTCAATCTACAATACTCAATATTGACTTGATAAGACGATAAGAAAATTATATAATTATTACACAGTTATTTTATTTTCATTTTATTCTAATATACAAATTGGAATATCAAATGTATTAAGTTATATTCTAAAATATTGACTAAGATCATTGGATAATATAAATCATATTTTATTATATTACATACCTATCTACATACTTATAATAGGTATAAGATATAAAATAAAACCACGAATAACTAATGTGTCTTATGCAAGGTGGGTACCTACTTTTTAAAATTATATTTTAAGATAGGACTCGATCAATCATAAGTGTTAGTTTAGTTTCAACAACAATAATACCTAATTTTTAACCATGGGTACAATATTAGATGTACCATTTATTTAAATTAACAAATAAAAAACTTGATTTCTAAATCTAATATGTTACAACTATATTTTAATATTTTGATTATATTTGACTGCAGAATTTTATGAGTCATTAAATAAAATCATATGTCATAAAACTCTTTAATTTAAATATATATTAGAATTTAAATAATGTATAGTTGACTAATAAAAAAAAGATTTGTCGATAAGACTGCTGACATTTTTACAAATTGTGTAAAAAATATTATTTTTAAATAAAAAAAAAAAAAAATTATGTGTTATTAAAATGTAGAGTTGAAAACATTAATACTTAATCTAAGAGTTTTTTGTTATTTGTAAGTGAGTATTAATGTGATATTTTTTCTCTTCACTTGTGTAAGATAATAAAAATGTATAAGGTCAATGTTTAGATTTGTTATACCGAATAATATGCAGAAATCTCAAAAGTTTGGTATTTATTATTAAGTTGTTCTATGTCTCATTTATTGACTATAAATACTAATACAATAATAAATTATACCATTTATAATCAGTAATAATACCTACTTAATGAGTTACTACTACTTATTATACTAAAGGTATTTATATTAAATTTAATTAAGGTGTTATATTAAAAAGTGTTATTATTCAAACTATTTTACATTGATAATTATACATAAGAGACTACGGCGGTCAACACGTCGCGGAATGGACTGAGAGAGATAAAATATAATAGTCACTTTCAATGTAGACAAAATAGTGATGACCATTTTGTATTAAGTCCTATTTAGTATTATGTGTTATATCTATACACAACTAAAAATAATAATGTATTGATATAACATTATAGTGGTGTTGAAAGAAGATTGCCGCCTCGTTTTATTCTTTATCTATGATTATTATTAAATCTTGTTTGGTACTAGTTATTATTATTATTTTGTTACTGTTGTCAAACTACCGACAATAATCTAATAACGAACAAAAATAATTGATTAAGCGTCAAGTGTGTAAAATTTAGCTGCGTTAGTAAAATTATCAACAACTCATTAGCAAATCAATATTTTTAAAATTAAACAATAAAACATATTAATTTATACAATTTTGATTAAACTTAAAAAAAAAAATAAATAGGGGTTGCCATTTGAAAATCAAAAGTTGGTTTCGAGTTTTCGAGGAAGGGATGCGAAAAAAAAGTATTACATAATAAGTTAGTATTTTATACACAAACAAATTATTAAACATTTTGTTTTGTATGAACCTAAGTATTTTTTTAGTTAAATAGTTTCGACCGTTAAAAGAATCACCCTGTATAAAATACAAACAACTTCAATGCACTTAGAACGAAATTTTTTAAATTTTAAGGTAAATTAGTTTTATGGTAATTTCTAGTGTGTCTTAAGATATCAAATACTGTTTTGTAAGAGTTAGTTAAAAGACCTTTTTTTGGATTGATATGTATCCAAATATTAGCGACATTTATATTGTCTATTTTTTTTTTTTTTTTTGAGATGTAGTTTAATGGTAAATTAATTGGATAATGAACACTGCTAGAGATTAAATGTAATATACTGTTAGTCAGTAAGAATGTCATATTTTACACTTATTTGTTTTAAACATTTTAAAGTATTAACATGCAAAGTAGAATTTGGACCCTCCGAAAAAAAATGTAAAAAATATATAAATTGTTTTAAAGCAATTAGTTCATATGTTATACAAGATATACGTTTTGGTATATAACACAATAACACCTAGAGCATAAATTAACCTTTTGAAGTTTATGCTATACACTAACAAAAAAAGATCACAGAATGGGAATGGTTTTGTAAATGAAAAAATATTCATGACAAATAGTTTACTATCGACTTTATTAAACACTACTATACTTATAGTACACCACTACTACTATAGTTATAATGTTTTTACTAGTAATTACTAAAAGACATTTTTTTTTAATTATATAGAACAATTATATGGTTTCGGTTATGTCACTTCCACCATAGTATATATCGTCAACACCGCTTATGTCGCCTTCCCAGTCGGACTCCATAGCATCATCTTCTTCTGTATCAATTGGTTGGACGACCACAAGACTGGGACTTGTTTCGTCTTCCATTGTGTTAATCAAATCATTGTTGTTTGGGATATGTCCTAAGATATTGACTCTATGTAACGTGACTTTATATTGCGGCCCTACAATAGAACAAAATAAAAAACTGACTATAAAATATGTTATTTTATAATCGTGCCTTTTTTTATCACAGTTACACAACAAAGCACAACCATTATTAATAATTAGTACCAACATTTTGAGCTACCTACTAATTTGTGTAAAATAATCAAGTGATAGCTTTAAATATTTCACTTACTGCAAAATGGCTTGGATTTTCCTGTCATTAAGAAGGACTTTGAACCGGGGGAATGACTAGGTTTTTGCGCATTCAAGCCCATTGTGCTAATTTCTGTTTGGTTATTAAAACATTTACCCTGCACATAAAGAAAACCAGAAAGTTAAACAATTGATATTCAATTAAAATAACCCCCATTAACTTGTTCATTTCGAATACATATATTTTTAACACATTTATAAACAATTATAACATTTCTAACAAATACAATTTGTTTTAATTAAAAGAGTTAATATATTGATTTACTTTTTGGAAATTTTTATATGAATCACATTGGTGTGCATCGAACGAGCAATCCTTGGAGTTAATAGATTCAATGAAATAATAGATGGCTCTATGATGGTTACACGCTAGTAACCACTCCATTCCGCTTCCCATTGTGGACAGTCCAAGAGATTTACATCCCGGTTGATTGTTGCCGCCGTTCGGATAAAAATCAACGTGACCACACGTACGGGCCATACCAAATCCTATAAAAGATGGTAAAACAATAACGGTATATATAATATTTAACAAATATTATTATATAGTATACATGTACTGTAATTTATATAAGCCATGAAGAAAATATCAAAACATGTATCGTCACTAAAGATGCAACACCTGTTATATTATATTTACTTTTTATTAAGATTTATACATTCACACTCATATAAATTTATATATATATATATATTATACTTACCAGGCTTTAAGAAGGCTGGCAAACCCGTGTGTATGCTGTCTACGAATTGTGCGTCCGTATGATGGAGCCTGTATTTAGGGAAATTTAACTCGAATAACGGACCGGCCGGATCAAGCCCTGTGATGCGGCCTAGACGACCGTTCAAACGTTTACCAGCAAAACCGACTATATGTGCTCCTAAACTATGTCCTATCAAATGGACATCATTCAGATCTTGGCCTCGATCCTAGATTTAACAATAAATATTAATTGATTTACTAAGTTATAGGCAACGTTTAAGTAGCACATAGTATTAAAAGTTTTACGAGTTAACATGTATGAATTCACCAACACACAAGGCTCCAAACTATACAGGGTGATCAAGTTTAATTAAATACAGAAAAATTCAAATCCTAAAAATTGTATTCTATATATTTATGAAATTAAAAACAAGTGTTCCAATTTGAAAAAAAGTCCATACTTGTTTTATATAGAATGGAAGAAGGTAAACATTTTCTAATTATTGAAAAATAAAGTTAAATATGTGTACCTAAAAGTATAAAACAAATATTAATGTTCAAAATATTTAAATTTTTCGAGAAAAACACTGAATTACGAATTTATTAATAATCTTAGTTTAACTCAAATAAAAAATGTATTCAAATAAATCATTTTAGGTTAGGTCTAAAAAAAAATTATTTGAATAAATCTTCTTAGATTTTGTCGAGTAAAGAGATTATTCGAATAAAAAATTCCCAACTCTGCTTACATCATAGTATAAACCAATTAAACTGACTTGTACGACTGACTCAGTACGACAATCAGTACTCATCAAGTATATTATACAATTTAAAAATATATTTTTAATATTACTTTTAAATAGTTGATGAACTTGCCGATTGTCTTTCCCACCGTTCGGGTTCTCATTGCCGATATACCGTATGTCGTCCTACAATACCATCCTACTAATATGACATTCCAGTCGGAATTAGTTAACAGTTCATTTTTCATTTCCTGCGCAAAACAAAAAAAAAACATAGAATTTAATTGGAACACTAAAGATCAAACGTGATTTGAGTCACCTGCATCCATTCGGGCCAACTTATCAACCCCTTGGCAAGGTAACCGTGGACGATGAACTTAGTAGGTTTTTTTGGATCAAAATATTTCGAATTTTTTACGGATTTTTTAGATTCCAGTTTCTCGCTCTGGAAACGAAAAAGGAGAAAGTTTAATCAACAAAAACCAGGTTTTCTATTCGGTGGAATTTTTATTTGTACCTAAAAATTATAAATTATGGCTTAAAAAAATTGTTAAATATATACCTTTTTCGGATTGGTCCGGGTATAAAGGTGGAAGCCTTGTATATGATCGAATAAACTGACAGGTTTGACAGTAACGTTCATGCATCCCAATTCGCCAGAACATGAATTTGAATATTCTGTACAAAAAGATGATTTCATTAATTAAACAATAAATGTTGATTGGAATTTGTGTGTTATCGTGTCAATTATGATAGTTGTATGTGATTAATTGTTAACGATAACAGTTTCTGTAGTTTCTAATGTAATGTTGACAAAAAATTAATTGTGTACTTGAACATAAATAAAATACTACTAACCTGCTTCCTCGATCTCGAGATCCTCAACATCTACTCCAGTGGAACGCGATATTAAACATAGCAATAAAACAAAATAAATGGACATTTTTTTATGGTAATCCAACATTTTGATAGGTACAACTAGTAAGACTTGTGCTGGGTATTAACTAATAATAACCAAGTACGACCCACTAGTTAAAAAGTACTATGTTTATTTAATATTATTAACTCGCTTTTATACTGATTCATTCCTGCAAAATATCAATTATAATCAAATATCAACCATATTTTATTAACCAGTTCTAATCATTGATAGGTAAGCGTTTTTTCATCAAAGTTGCGCTTTAAGAACGAAACAAGGTCATGCGTTGTTATTCGAACTGTACATAAAACATTTAAAGAAACACGGCGCAGTTGAGAAATTCGCGCAGATAAAAATAAACTCAACTTCAGCAAATTATTCTTAATTTAGAAACTCAACAAAATATGTATTTTACTATTTAAGTTACAAAAGTTGATTAAGCTCTAGAAAATACTGAAAAATACTTGAATTTTAATACCGTTTCATATAATAATTTAGCATAAACAAAAATATTTAAAAAAAAAAAAACTAAAAAATTGCAATTATTTTAAGAGTAAACTAGTGTACACTAGTATCACTCGGTACATAACCCCTTCCATAAACCAACATGTCATACTTACTCCTTTTCTTAAATAAATAATAGAAAACTGAACATTATGAAAAACATACAAATTACTTCTCAATTTATTTTATGACCGATTTGACTAATGTATTGTACTAAATTATTAAAACGTTTATTACATTTTTAAAACAAACTCAAAAGATCAACTCAAAGTCGTTGAAACTTACAATGTATTTATTTTTTTTTATAAAAATAGGCTTAACCTAACTACTTTTAAGCGACCAGTAATATGTGTCTATTGTATAGATTACACGTATGTATTTTTATTATAAACAAATTAAGTAAAAAAAACCTTCTGACTTTTAAATAATAAACGATTAAGTTTTGCTTGTGAACAAAGGTCATAATATATTAATCGTATATTTTGATGACTCAATTTAAATTTGTTTTAAATACAAAATGACAAACATGTACAGAAAAACAGTTTAATGTTCTACCTTAACATTTATGTACAGCTACACTAAACGCATTTTTTTACACTTTCTAGCAGGGATCGAATGAAATAGTTATTAAGAAATGTAAAAGCGACCAAGTACTTAACAAATATTATAATATGTATATAACCATAATGAAAAAAACTGTATTTTTATTTTTATTTTATAAAAAAAAATTTAATGTTATCTTACTCGTGTAATCATAACGAGCCTCTCGTGAGTGTTGAATAGTTTTTTTTTTGTGTGTAACGTTTTTATCTTAGAGAGAAATAGTAAATGTTTAACGAAAACTTTTGTGTGGCATTAAGATAGATATTAACATATTTGTTTGATTAACCTCTTTTAAATAAAGGTGTTTTTCAAACAGTTATAGTTGAACTTATTTGTAAAAAAAAAAAATATTTATCAATTAAGCCAACGGTTTTTAAACACAGGTTGTTATCTTTGGTTACTTTAAAAACGTTAAAAATAGCGCAGAATAGGTAAAATTGTTTCCTTCAAAACGCATACCTACCTTCATTACTGCTATATTTGAAATAGGTACATTCATCAGAGTTATTATAACTATTGGGAATTATTTTTATTGTTATGGATTTATTCAAAGTTAATGTTGTTTTTTTATTCATAGTAATAATATAATAGTTCCAAAAATTTTTTTTTTACTTTTTGGATGATTATCCTCAAAGGGTTGTAGTACTAAGGACAAAGTATTTTTACAACTTTTTTTTCTCAGTCTTAAAATGTTTTTAAGGTTTTAAAACATATATTTTAATATTGTATGTTTTAGACATATTAAGTCAAAGCAATACAATGCAATATCATCGACAAATAAAATTTCACTTCTAAATGTAAACATTTTTTTTTTAAAGATCCATTAACTACTTATAGACATGGCGAGTGGCTAGGCTGGAAAAAGCCAAATTTTTAGCTATTTTCCAAATAGCCTAGATCATATCTAGCCCGGTAGTCTAACTATGGACTGTTGTTTGATCAGACTTTTGTTTACTAAGACATTTTTGTAAAAGATCTCCGCCGTAATTGAAATCAGCATTATCCTTTTTTATTCGTGTAAAGTTTATTTTTATAACATTTCTCACTTATTTAATGATAACCTATAGGGTACATATACTAAACTCATTGAAGTAATTATTAGTTAAAATCTATTTTTTACAATTATTAGAGGTTAATTAAAACTTTACTTGTTAGGAATGGGGCATTGGAAATTTCGATTCTTGATTATAATCGACTTATACCTTAATGTGCAATTAGACAGGTATAAAGTCTATGCTGATCATAATTTTTTTCACTATAGGTCAATCGTTTTATCTAAGTTAATGTTCACGCCCAGTTTTCAGGTATATGTATATCGGCTTGCTGTGTTTGTATAACATAATAGTTATAATATTTAATTGTACAAAGCTTTTCGATTTAATATAAGTAAATATTTCCGAAATGCTTTTTATTTTAAATATAAATTTATACACGAAGTAGATGTAGACTAGCCAGGTGGACTCTGATTGTAACTACAACGTCTTAATGATTTTTCTCTTTGTGGATTTTATTAAAGTTAGTAAATTAAAGCTAGTTTTTAATTAGTGTTAGTAATTTGACGTAGGCCGTTTTAGCATAAATTTAATTATTTCCGTTACTGTAATTTTGGGGAATGACTTTTAAAAGGCGCTTGAGTAAAGTAAAGAACAGAACGACAGTTACTTTATATGTGCATACCGTACACTCACACTTCACTCCTAGCGCAACCACTAAAGTACTATTAACACAGAAAGTATTCATCCAAAACTGTTTATCGACCATTCGTTATTTACATGGCATTCATCTACATTAAATAGCTAAATCAAATGTATAGGTCACTAGCTAAATTAACTACAATAAATACCCTTTAGAGCTACCTTAGAAACAAAATTTTGAAATTGAACATTATTAATTTTTACATTTTAATAATTTTATAGCGCAACCTTTATAGCAAAGTATAAGGTATCGATTTCCATTTAGCTTAAATGTCTGAACATTTTTGTTGACTAGTGTGTTTTCCGATAATTTTACATACTATTAAAACCGTTTAACATAAATTAATTAACATACTTAATTAGTTAACTTATTCGAACACACAAATTATCAATGTTTTGTAGTTGGATTAATTAACTTCAATAGATAATGTGTGATCAATGCATGATGATGAAATAAAATCTTATTTTAAAGTTCATTTGGGTCAAACGGATTTGAGAATTGATAAAAAAAAAAAACCTTATGTTTTAAGTATTTCGTTTAGATACCTTTTGCGCGTTTGCTAATAAATCAATACCTCTGTTTACATAATTATTGCACGCGAATATAAAATGCATGAAGTTTAAAAAACCAATTGATCGAGTTAATTCGGAATACTTACTAAAAATGTATCTTTTTACGACGTGTTTAGAGTTTTGTGAATAGTGGCCAATAGTAGACAATTATTATTGTACTCTAATGCCCAAAACATTGTCTATTTTTATACGTGTGGTTATAAAAAGAGTTTTAAAATCCTCTGAAATACTGATAAAAAATAACTACCAAACTTTAACTAGCAACACAATTTTTATATGTATATAACATACATTTAAATTTATGTAACATACAAACAGTGGTTGAACATAATTAAAATGTAGGTATGTATTAGGGTAATTTATATTTTGTAGGTAACTGACACAAAGCAGATGTAATAACCGACTTTTTTACATAAATTTGATCAAAAAATACTAATAACCGTAAACAAATATTATACTCGATGTGTGAGAATTAATAAATATATAGTTTTGATAACATTCTATTCCGTTCCGTCCGGATAATATCGTGTACGCAGTTAGGCACTTAATAAACAATTTTTACATAAATTTAAAAGGTGTAGAAAAAAATCTACAAATCTACAAAACCTTATGCCAATCTCTTGAAATCGTTTCGACGATAATATTATTCGATTGCGTTAAGCTGTTGGCGATTATAATATAAAATGTATTTATTGTGTGTATAAAATGTAATCAATCTAGTCCAATTTGTTCTAGTCTGAATTTTTGCGTGCACACACACACATCAAAAAAATATTATAATATTAAAACTCGTTACGGTCTAATTATTTCCTTCGTTACTGAACTTCCCCTCAAAATACAAAATTAAAAAAAAAAATTGTTTAGCTGTACATATTTAGGCACACTACCACTTGGCAGAGTAAACAACCAGTACACTGTTTAATTTGCAATATTTCAACTTACCACTATGTATAAGAAATTAAATAATGACACTAGTATTATAAATTTAGTGTATTTTTCAGGTTTTTGTGCTGCAAACTTATTAATAATATCATTCCAATTCATATTTTGTACTACACCATATTCAATAGGTATTAAAGCCAACAATGATGTTTTCAGTAAGTTTTTGTATCCCTTCGAATCTAGAAATGATACACTAGCGTTGAAACATGGTATTGAAACAAACAAAATAAATTTTGGATATTATAATATTGTGTTCCAATGTAATACACAAAGCGTTTTTTTTTTACGATTTCGGTAAAATTTGTTTACATACATACAATATTTTGTTTTTTTGGGTCTCACTTGAAATAACAAACTCGAGTGTTGCGATTTGGTTTTTTGGTGCGACTGCTCTACAGTTCATTCGATACTTACAATAAGTTGAGTTGCTAAAAGAAAAAAATATGAAGTCCTTTGTGCAATTATTTTTGTTAGTATCCATGGTTTTAGCCGGTCTATTGGTATCCGACGGTTTGTGCCAGATCATGCGCCGTCCGGTCGACGCGGACGTAGAGATGGACGACTTGTTGAAATTCCCTCAATTTCTTAGGGGAAAAGTAGAGTTGAAGTTAAAGGCTAATGGGGTATGTATCGAAGGAATATACGTATGCAGAATAAAAGACATGGACAACCGTCGCCATGCGGTTAACTTGATTTTAGAACAAGTAGCCGAGGAAGTGACAAATCTGTTGGATTGGTTCACCAACATGGTGATCCAGATGATTGGGTTAAGAGGCAACTCTATTTCTTTGAAAAGACTTCTGGACCTAATCAAGCTCAAGGTGGTGAGTCTGGACAGTTGCCTAGAACATCTGTACTACAACCGAGCCAACGTCACACAAGCCCTAGACAGGTACTTTCTTAAACTGTATTGACTCTGATAAAACTCATAACATTTTTTTTTATGAGATATTATAAAACTCGAACAAGTCATTATAAATCTATGGACCATTATATTGGATCTTGATGTCAATTATACCCCTTGACTCAACTGCACAAGAATTGAGATGCCTAGAACACAAGGGGTACAAGTTCAAAATAATTATTCATATAATTAATTTGAAGTAAAGAGATAGTATGAATAGTCAAAAAAACATTATTATTACGAAATGTGTAACAGCTTTTATAATGTTATAATACTATAGTAATAAACTAATAACATCTTATATTATTTACAATACTTTTGTGTCAGTTTTTGATCAATACATGATTAATAACCATACCTTAATATAATTAATAAACATTAATAAATTAATTTAATGAAAAATTTATGAAGGTATAAGTGCGCTTGTACCTATTTCCTTCTAAACCAGATGGCGTTTTCGTTTGTTGGTTAAGTGATTTGCTACCAAATCCCAGCACAAGATAAATAACTCGCCGTTATTTGTTTACCAACAAATAAAAAGGACAATTTATAGTTAAGCTGTGCACTAAACTGAAATTTTTCAAAAATGTACTATATCCCTTGCATTCTAGGCGCCTCGTATGATATTTTATCACCACCGCGTCGTGGCAATTCCCATTTACTAACGTCCATTACGAATGCTTGGTTTGACAGGTACCTGTTCCTCAGTGATATCGTCTTCGTATATCAAGCCGAGTATGAAGAACACAACGACACCGACATTGACACGCCCAAACTCGATTTTGAAAAACAAAAAATTTTGGACTTGATCGAAAAGAAGACAAACATGATTCCGATTGATGACAAGGATGCACCTCAAAAATCGTACACCGATATGTTGGGCGAAGCTCAAACGAAAATAATCAGATTCACAAAATTCTACAACCGTCGTTATGGCTTTGGCTGGCTGAACACCGACAAACTCAAGTGGAAAGGCCTAATGAAATCCGCGACGGTTCAGCAAATGGTGTCTCCGGTCAGTGGCAAAAGTCTGCAGCTGAGATACGACGAAACGGCAGCCGAGGTGGACTCGACCAAAGTCATAGCCTTCTACGCGGAAGTCGCCGAAACGATCACCGTCCTGATAGCTAAAAGGTCTTTTGACATTTTACCGCTGTTCGTCGACTTTTTGCTGGCAATGATAAACGGTGGCTCGTCAAACGATCCAAGCAGACGCGAACGTTTAGAGGTCGTAATCAAAGTCTTATCAGCACAGTTGGACGTCTTGAAATTCTTCGAAGGCATCATAATGTACAAGCTTCATTTGGAATGTCCGGCAGAACTGTTACTAGCCGCCATCGAGAATCTCGATTGTGTCATTAATCGGATCAGAGTCGTTTTGGTAAAAGACAAAGTATTGGACCAGGATATACACACGTTCACGATGCACATAAACCCCGTGAATGCGTCAGACCCAGCAGAGAAGCAGCCCGACATTGCCGTTACTGAAATTCCAACGGCCGAAAAACTCGTAAAAGACATGAAGGCGATTGTGTTGGAAACACGAGGTATTGGCACAGTATTGGTACCTTCAAATTAGGTGAATAAATAATAATACGTATACGTGTATCCTATTACAGTTCCAGATTAATGATAAAATAATAAGAAAATTATTAGTTATAAAAAAAAAAAATATGTAATACATAATATAACCATATAAAATATATTTATTTGTTTTACGAACTGAATTCAAGATTTTTCCAAACTTGAAAAATTTCCTAGCTTTAATACAAACTGATGAACTCGGCCATTGATCATAAGTATTATATCAAAAAATTATTGAAAACAGTTTAAACTTTTCAGCACAGGACCTATTATCAAACGTTTTTTCCATGTCTTTAAACTCGTTTTTGGCTTTTAGTCTAACCTTTTGTTTTCTAATTTAAAGAAAAAGATTTATTGCCGTTGAAAATATTTAATTTTTCCTCAATTGGAATGACATAACAGCTACTAATTATAAGTGTGAATTATTATTGTCAAAATATACTGATGCACTTGACAATTATTATTCTAGTACATATGCAAACACTGCAAAGTGCACAACTAGTGCATAATAAGGGATTCGGAAAAATAAATTACAATTGCAATCCTTGTATAGGTCAATCGATTAAACGTAAAAAATTTGTTAATTCTGAAATTTTTTACAAATATTATGTATTTTCTGATACTAAGTTGGTTTTTTAGTATTTTTTATTGCTAGTATAACTGAGAATTTAACAGTATTTTAATATATGATTAACTGCTTAAATTAAGAATAATTTACATTATATTTTATCATCAGGGTTGTAAGTATAGAATTTATACTAGGATTTCAATAATAGCCAATGGTCAAAATCTTACATTAAAATAGCTGTATGATATTTGGATCAATAGCAAATTTTTATCATATAAAATTATATAATCAATAAAGCAACGCTACATTTTTCATACACCAATAATCAAATGAATGCTATGCACGTTATTCAAGACTTGGAATATTATTTTCATATTTTAGTTGTATTGCTAAGACAGCGCTATCAAAATTCATAGAAATAAACTACTGCGGAGCATTATAAAATCTGTATAAACAGTAAGCACGTATGGCAAGTTGTTTGATATTTTTAGAATTTAATTAGACAAGAATGGCAATATGGACTGAACACATAAAGTTTAAGCTTACGCATTTTTATAGCAAACCGGTATTTCTTACATTTTTATTAGAAAAAATTTACAAAGACCTGATCAAAATTGGGTCAAACACAGCGCAAAATTTGTATTAAGTTTTGTAGAATTTAACCTAGGAAAATAATTTCCAAAACATTTTCGGAACTTTTCAGGGTCGTTTTGATATTAAAACATAGTTTTGGCACTTTTGGATTCAATACATATTCATGATAAGATAACGTTACCTATTGAAAATATATACTACTTGTTACAACAGCTACAACAATAGTTGATATAAATTATTAATAGTAAACTTGTATAAATTAATTGATTTTGTAATAGTACAAAAAAAGTCAGTAAAAACAATTGTACGGTTATGCATTTTGTTCTTATCCAATATTGATCAGTTATGTTATCAGACTATCAATTATTTTATGCTGTAGTTATAACAATAAGTGTATATTGGTAACGTTTTCAATCTTTAAATATAATAATAAATGTAGTTGTCAGTATTGTTTATCTAAAAATATAGTAGCAAAAAAAATTGATTTTGTTTATTCTTTAATAAGCAATTTTTTTTCACATCCGTACAAAAAAAAAAATGATATGTAGAAAAATATTATTTTCCAGAATGACAGAAATAATTATTTTTAAAATGACATACACGAAAATTATGTTTTTTCCGGGGAGAAATTCTTAAGATATATTATTTTTTTTTTTCTAAACTTACTAGTTATGTATAAAAAATTGCAGTTACTACTACATATTTGCTTCGATTTGGAGCTGAGACGCCGTTGGTTTAGAATGATGTGGGGTTTTTTGTGACTGTTTACTGTCGTAAGACAAAAAGAAATGAAATAGAACGGTATTTGGACACTCTAAACTCTGGTTGTTGAAATGAAACACTGGTACAAGAGTAAAACGGATAGCTGTCCGGGTTCTTCGCGGATGTCGAAATGCCGTTGTTTGTACCGGATTAAAAAGAATCAGAAAATGGGAAAGGATAGGTACAAGGTGCGAACGAATCGCAAGACACGGGTACCTTTAAGAAAGGAACGTGCACTGTGCGAACGAATCGCAAGACAAGCGCACAAGGAATGAGGATAGAGTACTAGGTGTAAATGAACGAACTCTCGAACTTAAACCTTGTAGACGGACAGCGACAACCGATTACTCTTGACTGATGACATATAGCTCTGGTAAAGTCGACTGACGAAATGTTATTGACTCTCATTGACTTTTATATATTTTTATAATTTGCAATTTAGCGTTATTGTTAATTTAATTGTTTGGTCATCAGTCTCAAGTCGCCGGAAGCACTGCCCGCATTTATTTAAAAAAACATGTATCCTATATTGATGACGTGGTCATCGTATAACATTACACTGTAGCTTTTTTAATACTAGATCGACTCCTTCAAGTGGAAACTCTATAAATCACTAATTTAATCTTAACATTAATAGTAAAAGTGGAAAAATTTACTACTTTACCACCTAAAATCTAGAAAAAAAAAACTATACGTGTTTTAAATTTTTAACTTTTAATATCCACCATTTCGAGAAAAATTCCAAAAATAACTCTTGCCTGTGGTCAGTGGCTTGTTAATTAATATTATGCCATTTATTAATCTTATACCTATTACAAAAATATAAATAATGTTATCATCACACTGTTACAGTCTTTGAGAGTACATATATATCTAAGTATATATTTATTTACTTAACGATAAGTTAAATATCAACCAGTACACTGTTTAATTTAAAATATTTCGACTTACACAAAATATAAGAATTTAAATAACAATTAGTTTTTTAAATTTAGTATATTTTTCCAGCTTTTAGAGCTGCAAACTGTGTAATAATATCATTCCTATTCATATTGTATTATTCAAAATTGTAGTACACTATATTCAATTGCACATTTATGCCAACGGTGACATCTTAGAAACAAAAAAAAAATAATTTGTAAAAGTCTAAATGTCAGGGTTAGGAATATTTTAATGGGAACACTCTGTAGGTGCGTATATGAATTTTTAAAATCATATTTTGTTATTCTGTTCACGGGCGTCATGAACAAATAAATGATGAGGTAAGCTTTTATTATAATAATATTGTGTTTCAATGTAATACGCATAAGTGTTTTTTGTGACTTCGGTAAAATTTGTTATTGTGGGTTACACTTGAAAAAATAAACTTGAGTGTTGAGATTTTGTTTTTACTGTGACTGCCCTACAGTTTATTCGATAATTACTACAAGTTAAAATTTGTTTACATACATACAATATTTTGTTTTTTTTTTGGGTCTCACTTGAAATAACAAACTCGAGTGTTGCGATTTGGTTTTTGGTGCGACTGCTCTACAGTTCATTCGATACTTACAATAAGTTGAGTTGCTAAAAGAAAAAAATATGAAGTCCTTTGTGCAATTATTTTTGTTATTATCCATGATTTTAGCCGGTCTATTGGTATCCGACGGTTTGTGTCAGATCGTGCGCCGTCCGGTCAACGCGGACGTAGAGATGGGTGATTTGTTGAGATTCCCTCACTTTCTTAAGGAAAAAGTAGAGTCGAAGTTAAAGGCTAATAATATATGTATCGAAGGAATAAATGTGTGCAAAATACAAGACATGAAAATCCGTCATCGTGCGGTAAATTTGATGTTAGAACAAGTAGCCGAGGAAGTGACAAATCTGTTGGATTGGTTTACCGACATGGTTATCCAGATGGTTGGGTTAATAGACAACTCTAATTCATTGGAAAAACTTCTGGACGACATCCAATCGACGGTGTTTAATCTGAACCGATGCCTAGAATATCTGTACAACTACCGAGTCAACGTCACTCAAGCCCTAGACAGGTACTTTCTTAAACTGTATTAACTCTGATGTAAATCCATTGCCTTCATTATCCCAACCAAAACTTGAACCACACACACAAGTGCACGTCTTGTACGTTTTCCCTAATAGCACCATGTGCTATTCTTTATTCTCATCAAGTTATACTCATTTGTGCTAAAAGCACCACGGTTTTAATGCACTTAACTATTTTTCTTTTTAAAAATTATTTTTATTTTTTTTGTTACATTTTTAAAAAAAAATCAAGATAGCCATTTTGTTAAGAATAAACTGCTGAAAATGTTGACTGGTCGACTACCAGAATTGAATAATTACTTTTTAAGTAACTAAAGGTTAAATCATTCTAAAGAATAGGATGGGAGGTAGAGTGCGGAAGAGTAAGCGCGTAGAGCTATTTTTATCTGCGCGCATTTCTCTACCGTACTCCACCTCCTATCCTACCCTTTAACCTTTAGTAACTTAAAAAGTAATTGTCCAAATCTGGTTATAGAGCAGTTAAAATTTTCAGCAAATTATTCTTAACAAAATGGCTATCTTGATTTTTTAAATAAAAAAAAATTATTAAAAAAAGTAAAATAGTTAAGTGCAATAAAATGCATAGTGCTTATAGCGAAAATCGGTATAAGTTATTTAAAACAAAAAAATCTTAAAAATATTCACTCCCACGATTAAAAATAATAATTACATTTCACGTGCTGCGTCCCACAGCTGACGTTAGCCTTTACAAAATTATAGAAATCTCACTGGGACAGAGTTTTTGGAGTATATTATATATAATATTTTATCCCCATCACGTCGTGGCAACTACCATTTACTAACGTCCATTGCGAATATTTGGTTTGACAGGTATCTGTTTCTCAGTGATATCATCTTCGTATACCGAGCCGTTCCCGACACCGACACCAACACTGACACGCCCAGACACAATTTTCAAAAACGAAAAATATTGGACTTGATTAAGTGGAAGACGAAAAATGAACGGCTTCCGACCGGTGCTAGGGTCGGACCTCAAAAATCGTGTTCCAATATGTTGGTCGAAGCTAAAACGAAAATTTCCAGATTCACAAAATTCTACAACCGTCGTTATGGCTTCGGCTGGTTGTACGCCGACCAACTCAAGTGGAAGGCCCCGATGGAATCCGTGACGGTTCAGCACTTGGTGTCTCCGGTGAGTGGCAAAAGTTTGCGGAAGAGATACGACGAAACGGCAGCCGAGGTGGACTCGACCAAAGTCATAGTGTTTTACGCAGAAGTCGCCGAAACGATTGCCGTCCGTGTAGCTCAAAAGTCGTTTGCCGTTTATTCGCTTTTTGTCGACTACTTGCTAGCAATGATGCACAGAGGTTCGCCGAACGATGCGATCAGACACGAACGTTTGAGCGCCGTTTTTGTAGTCTTACACCGACAGTTGAACATCTTGAAATCCTACCAACACACCATGATATCCGTGCGTCGGTTAGAATGTCCGGTGGAATTGTTACTTACCGCCATTGCGGATTTCGATTGTGTCATTGAACGGGGCGGAGCCGTTCTGAAATATAGAGTGTGGGAACGGGATTTATGGACGGTCATGAAAAGTGTAAATCCGCGCTTCCTAAAACCCTCGAATGCGCCAGACCCAGCAGAGATGCAGCCCGACATTGCCGCTACTGAAAATCCAACGACCGAAAAACTGGGAAAAATCATAGAAGACATGAAAGCGATTTCGTCGGAAACATCAGATATAAGTGATATGATAAAATACGAATATTATTAGTTAGAAAATAAATATATGTAATATTTATAACCATATACACCTAATATATATTTATTTGTTTTACGAACTGAGTTAAATATTTTTCCAAATTGGAGCATTTCCTAACTTTAAGCAAAACTGGTGAGAATGTCATTGATAATATAGTATCATTAGTAATATGGTATTAAAAAATTATTGAAAAATTTGAAATTTTGCAGCTAATGACCTATTATTATACGTTTTTTCCATGTCTTTAAACTCGTTCTTGACCTTTAACGTAACCTTTTGTTATTAATTTAGCTTATAAGAAGTGACTTAAAGCTTGTCATTATTTAATACTATAATTTACATGTCACCACATATTTTTGAAAATCTGTGTGCGTGCAAAGTATGACAATCTTTTTAGGCTGACGACGGCAATATAACTAGTGGTTGAATTGGAAAGTGAATAAGTACGGTCAAGGTGTTAAATTTTGAAATCAGCGTTTCGGAACAAATGAAAACATAGTGACCCGTTGATAATAAGTACTCAAGGTATTTCTAATGATTTATATCTATAAAACAAGTGTAAAATTATTTTAATATTAATTATATTAACTTTTGTAATTTTCTGACCGCAACTGTTTTCTGTTATATATTCATTTAAAGCCTTTTGAAAAGTTTATATGGATAATAAATATCGGTATTATTTTCTTAAATAATTTCATTGGAACGTATTAAATCACAGTGTAATTTATTTTGATTATAATTTAAAAACTATGTATTGAAATAAGGAAAAACCTAGTTTTGTATTAAATTATTCGAACAGTTACCTTTAGGCCGTACATATGTGCGTGAAACAAAAAATATGTTTTCAAAAACAACATATTTTAGCGCATATATTACAATTTTAATATAAAAAATACACAATTACAGACGTAGAATAAATTGGTTTTATTTTCACGGTTTTTTTGACATAGATATGTCTTTTGGCTGGGAGTCAATAAGAAAATCTGTACGTGCATCACGCTGAACGTTACCAAGAAAAATGTGTGCGTGTGGCGTGATCTACCGGTTGTAAATGATTATATATAAAAGATAAAGGATTAGATTCTCCAAAAAAGTTACTCTTATTTGGATACTCTAGCGGTTGTAAGTGATTATATATTAAAGATAAGTGATTAGGTACTTCTATAGTTAGTTTTCCTATAGTTTAATATTCTTAGAAGTACTATGGTTTCGGGCAGGAAGAAGGTGGAGTGAAATACCTATTGTTACTAATTGCACGCACTTCCCAACCACACTTTCCATTCAAACCTATCTTTTAAATTTACAACATTAAATATAGTTGTGTAAAATTGGTTATCAACCAGTCAAAACGTTTAGTACGTTCTTCTCAATTTAAAAAAATTAATGAAATGTATGCGTTACCATTTAAGATTCAAAAGTTTCTCAAAAAAAAAAACAACTGGGAGAGTGAGAGAGATTGAGTGGATCACGATTAAATGATCATCTTTTATTTTAATGATTTTAAAACACAACCGTCTTGTAACAATGTGATCTTTATGTTATTGTAGAATTGTTTATCAAAATAGGTTTTATTATTGAATTTTTTTATTTCATGTCTTTCGGTTCAAACTAAATAAACTACATATATTTTTTTTGTAATCTATGCACACATTTTAGCTTCGATGCAGAGCGGGGAAGGTATTGGTTTAACTATTTATTGGTTTATTTTTGATCATTTTTCTGAAAACTTCCAACACTTACAATATAACAGCTGTGGAACCAAAGAGCCATGGGTATGGAATTATCAGTGTGTATGCTTTTGTTTTATTCAAAACAGTTATTATATTAGTACAATGTACATATGAGTGTTGTAAAATGAGGTTTTGTAAAATACTTATAAAAACATGTTTGATATTTATGTACCATAAAAACATAAGGTTGAATTTACACATAGAAAATTTAGGATCACAGGGGCCGAAACTTTTCGCAAGATAATGAGTGGATTTCCCTGGTTTAGAGTTTTGAGCTTATCATAAAAACAGCGATAATTTAATGAAAAAAATCAATTCATCGACGTGAACTTTAGACAGTCTTCTTCTTCGCCTTCGTCTCAACTATTTGAGGTCGGCCACCCTATTAACAATAATAATATAATATTGTTATGTTAAATCCCTTGTATTAACTATTTATAGAAGAGATGTTATAAATCACACTTAACTTGACACTGCATATATATTTACTATAACAAAACAAAACACTAAATTTTAAATACTATTGAAAAATCTAAAAAGACATAATTTATCAAAATATAACACGGTTACCAGGTGAGTTTATTATTTTAAAATGATTTAATAGTATATTTTACAGGGTGGTCTTATATCATGAGCTGCTTAATATCTTAAAGGGTTTGATAAAATTTTTATTTTTCCAGGTTCTGTTAATACAATGTGATCTCAAAAGTTCACAATTTTTTTTGTTTTTACCCCTTTCCAACTTTTTTTTATAGTTACTTTTAAAACTTAAATGTAACCTAAAATTAAAAATACTTTACTGAAAATATTAAATGTTTGATTACCAGTTTTGAACTAATTTTAAAGTTATCAGAGTTTAAAAGTTAGAACGGAAGGGAAAGTACGGTTGGGAAGTGCGTGCAGATAATAATAATACTACACTTCACCCTTCCCACTGCCAATAACTTCAAAAATAATTATCCAAAAATGATTATCAACTAGTAAAAATGTCCAGTACATTATTCCTAATTACAAAAAATAATTGAATGTATGCGATACCATTTATATTTTAAATGTTGATCTAAAAATAATTAGTTTACAGTAGGACAATAAAAATTTGTAAAAAAATTGATATAATATTGTATTAAAACACTATGAAAAAAAAATTACTAAATTTTCTTATTAAACCCTACGAAATATTAAGTGGTTCACGATAAAATGATTACTCTGTATACATACAGTAATTTTTTTAACCTAACCTTACCAAAAGTCAGTATAGAAATACACTTCGGGTATTTTTTTTTTTTTCGTTAGCAATGACAACTTTTGACTATGTCGATTTATTGAATTCAATTTACGACCATATATTACTGTTGTCACGCTATGGATAGAATATAACGTATTGGAACAGCTGTATATGTTTTTGCACTCAAGTATTATACGTGTTTCATTTGTAAAAGATACTACACTAGTAGACACTTTATAAAATACAGCTATATTTCTTTAATGTGTATGCGTATAAAACTTTCATTTAGAACTCAAGAACACGTCTTAAAACAATATTTTTAGTGAGAAAGTTTTTTTGGCCTGTTGTTGACATGGACTTTAAGTCGTTTCTCGTTCCATTGTGTTTTATACTGATTTTAAATGCCGAATCTTTTAAGTCTCACCATATCACCGAACAGACAAAGTTGTATTACATTGGAGTTTTGAATACGTTTCGTTTGAACGGCGGCTGGGAAAACCTGCAAGGTGAAATAATCGTTGATCGACATGGAATGGAGTGTGATGTCTACAGTGTACTCGCCAAAGTAGTAGACGAGAGCAACTTTTTTGATACACTAGAACAGTACCTTATGTTGTTGACTTGCAGGTATGCTCAAAGGCTCAAAACGTTCGTGTCCATCGTATACGGATTCGGTGGTCGTTGTCTGACAGAACGGGCCAATGGCCGCGAGGCGATTTTCGACTCTTGCATTGCTAAGCTTAGCGTATCGATCAAATCGTCACGTCCAATGTTGGAAAAAATGGCAAAAGGTTTGCAGTACATGCATGCGATTCCGAAAACTTTCAAAGCCGATGTTGCTAAAAGATTGCATACGAAAATAGTTTCAATTTTTACGGTAGTTGACAATTTCAACAGTTCACAGGAGCAAAGCGAATGCGCTATTGAAAATCCCAGTCAGAAAGTCATTCGTGTGGTAGAAGAAATATATCAGCATGTACATTTAAATCGCGAAACTTTAAAATGTGTTACAAAAAAATATAAAACTTACGAAGATTTATCTAATGAATTTAACAATTTAACAACTGCGTTTAACAATTTAAACGGCAAACATTTCGAGGAGGATGTCTTTCTTGTGTTCCTCGGTACCCAATTGGATTTTTTTTACATACAAGTTGTTGTAATGGAATACGAAGGTCTAGGGTTGGATAAACTATGTTAACAGTACTTATTTACAATTGTAAGTTTTGGTGTTATATTAAACTAAATAAATATATAATCAGCAAATTGCATTTAAAATAACGTCATCTAGGATTTTTTTTTGTTGGAAATTTACCTTATTTGCATCCATTTGTAATTCTACTTCTGATAGTTCATTATGTCCAAGGAATATTTTAGGTTTGAATTTTGCTAAAAAAATTACTGCTTCAAATATTATAGACTGGAGAAAAATATTATGAAAATTAAATTAGCAACTTAAATAGTGAGATAAGAAAAAAAATTCAATCAATTCTAGGAGGGAAGGGTGTTTTATATTTTTTTATTTTGTCGAACAATACCTTCTTAGCTCCAATTCAAAGCTAAAAATAATTAAACATAAATAAATATGGGCTAAAAGCAACAGTAATGAATGAAGAGAAAAAAAATCAAGAAGTTATTTTCTATGTTTTACGGAACAACATTGAATCATTGATATATTATATATATATATATATATATATATATGTTATATATATTATCTTTCACCTCTACTTTTTTATCACTTTCCTCTTTTTCTTTTATCAGCAATTATCTCTTATCACGTGAGACATAAAGTGTAACCCAAAAATGGCAATTTGAATTTTTTTTTAAACACATATGCTTAATGTTTTTGAATTTAAGAACAATTTGTATGTAAAGTAGTAGTTGGGTTTATTTTTTTCTTTAAAATTTTATATTTTTGATAACAGCCGACGAGACTTTTAAAAACATAGCAGAAGGCCTAGGTGACTACTTGCGGTACACCAGAAGAAACACGAAAATTATCAGACTTACTACCAAAAAGACTTACAAACTGATTACGTTCATTCAAATAGGAC